CGTACCTCGGTTGCAGTTTGTCCCTAGCCCTAGTTGGGTTGTGTGGGTGGCAGCCACATGATGTGTCCCTTTCATGTCGATGTTTCTCTCTCTCTCTCTCTCTCTCTCTCTCTCTCTCTCTCTCTCTCTCTCCCTCCCTCCCTTCCTCCCTCCCACCCTATCTGAACAAAAAATGTAAAAATGTCCTCAGGTGAAAATAAAAATAAATAAATAAATAAATGAATGAAAGAAAGAGAGAGAGAGAGAAAGAAAGAAAGAAAGAAAGAAAGAAAGAAAGAAAGAAAGAAAGAAAGAAAGAAAGAAAGAAACTAATATTCTAGCTATACCACACAAATCAAAAGTTTAACAGTTAAGCCCTTTCGTGTCTAAAATAACTCAAAAATTAAGTAACTGGAAATATGTTGAAGAAATATTTTTATAAGGGTTTCTCTTACTAATAAACTTCATCCTCAAAGTGGTATTTCACTTAAATTATTATTGGAAAAGAAGAGGGTCCCAAACGTTCTTTATTTATGTCCTCATTAAAATAAATGTAATTTTCTAGAGAAGGTGTAGTAAAATCGTAGCTGTAATTTCATGTATATCCTCTTCATCCATCATTCACTGTACATTTTGTGCAGTCTACCAATGTGTTATTTATCCAGTGTAATGAGTTTTTAAATATTATAGCACCTGCCCTCAAAAGGCTTACACATGAAAAAAATTAGAATACCAAGATAATAATATAATAAGGTACTACAACATATGACATAAACAGTCATTTCCATAGACAAAGCAATGTGGACTCCAGAAAAAAGAATTCTTTAACTTTCTATGTATACAATATGTGACATTTAAATATAAATCACCGTATGATAACAAATTTCACCTTTCTTCCTATTTGATAAATTCAATGTAGATTTTTTTGAAGGTTATAAAAACTGTAGGGAAAAAATGTAAAAGATTTAAAAATGGGCAGAGGAGATTACTGAATATCCTTTCAATGGAATGCTGGCATTTCCGGGGATTACTTGATTCAATAGGGATGTGGGACTGGAGTTTGCCTAGGCTATTTTGCACCTCTGCCGAAAAGTTAAATTGTAGAAAACTCACAGTACAAATTAAGTCCTGCCCATAAAAACGCAAATGTTTCCAGTGGCACTGAACAGTTTTGACAATCTTGCATTTATTTGCATCAATTTAAATTCTCCTTTGAGCTCTGGCTGGTTTGCGCAGTGGTTAGAGCATTGGCCCATGGACTCGGGAGTTCCGGGTTCAATTCCCGCTAAGGGCACGTACCTTGGTTGCAGTTTGTCCCCGGCCCCATTTGGGGTTGTGCAGGTAGCAACTAATTGATGTGTCTCTCCACTTCGATGTTTCTCTCTCTCTCTTCCTCCCTCTCTCCCTCCCACTCTATCTGAAGATAAATGCAAATATATATATACACATATATATATGTATATCTTCGAGTGAGGATAAAAAAATAAAAAATAAATTCTCCTTTGAACCAGTTGTAACACTTAACTGATGCCTTCATTAATTAATGAATTAAAGATCTTTGGTATGTGTTCATTTCATATTTGCATGAGAGTTATGATTATATCCCCTTCTAGACTTCATCCTTCAGTAAAATGAATACAAAATGATCCTTATGCCTCCTCAGAGAGATTACAATATAGTAAGGGAGATAAATAAATTCATAGCCAACTAGAATTAAGTTAACTATTACAATAGAGATATGAATAACATATGAGAAGTAAAATAAAATCATTTTCTCTCTGGAAATTTTAAGAAAGCCTTACATCTTAAGTTACAATTATAATAAGGCAGGGGTCAAGAAACTAGGGCCAACCCAGCCCACTCCCTATTTCTGTATAGCCCATAAAGTAAAAGTAAGTTTTACATTTTTAAATGTTTGGGAGGAATCAAAAGAAGTATGATTATCTAATGATATGTGAAAATTACATGACATTCAAATATCAGTGTCCACAAATAACATTTTATTGGAACATAGCCACACTCATTTATGTATTATCTATGGCTGCTCTCACATTACAACGACAGGATTGGGTAGCTGTGAGAGACCTTTTGTGGCACTGTCATCAATTCACACTGCTGTTCAGCACACCATAAATTGCAGTAATGAGTTATAAATCAACAGCATTTCAAGTTCCACAGGTATCACCATTCCACATTTTTAAAAATTACCAATTCATACAGATCATGTAAAAATAAGCAAAGAAGAGATAAGTGGACTTTGAATGTCATGCTTTTAAGGCATAGAAGAGTATGGGTTTTTATATCAAATTAGATGGTGAAACACTATGTTTATTACACAGTGGCACTACAGTTGTGCTAAAAGAATAGAATGTACATCAATGTTATCAAAGTCTGCATTCATCACAATAGTCTCAACTCACAAGAAAGCAGTAATTTGAAAAATTCAAAAACTCTAAAAGATTATAGCATCACACAGAATGTATTCACAAAAAATAGAAACAAGATTGCATCCAAAGTAAATTTCCAGGTAGCTCATATGTTAGCCAACAAGGAAAGTCATTTACCATTTACCAATAGTGAGTCCATTAAATCATGTTTGACTATAGCAGCCAAAGAAATGCATCCAGAGAGAAAATAAACTGTTTAAGCCTATTCACCTTTCAGAGAGACCAGCTGCTTGAAGGCTTGAGGTTACAAGGAGCAAAATCAATGGTAAATTAAAAAACAAGGCAAATGATTTTGACTGGTTTTCCTTGACTCTGGATGAGTCAATAAATGTAACCACTATTGTTCAGATGCTGAAAAGTCAATGTGTAGTTTATAGTGGCTCAAGAATTAGCTCCTATGCACAGTCTGCATGGGCCAACTGCAGGTGACAATATTCTCAAATAAACTCAGCAAACATTAGTCACTACAATCTGAAGTGGAATCCACTAAGATACATTAAAATTGCTTTTGGCAAAAAATATGTGTGGAGCAGAAAAAGGCTTGGGCATATTTTCAACATCTGTTACTGAACACTAAATGGCTTTTGTAATTAGTTTTTGCTGCAAATTTGATACTATTTCTTTATGAATTTTACCTAAAATTACAAGGCAAGACATAGCTTATATGAGAAACTTACACTGGGATAATACTGTCAAAATCACAAGTAATCATGGGCTACTATACATACTTCCCAATTATTAAACATTAAAACAAGATGGGAGATCTCATCACCACATAAATTTGTAGTGAATATATTTTTCAAGCTCAAACTATAGTTCCAGCAGGATTTTTCAGACCACAATACAAATGTGAAGTAAAGTTCCATATTACAAAATCCATCTAACTGTGCAAATGAGAACCTTCAGTCTAATCTTCAAGTGAAGTTTGCAAAGTTAAGCAATAAGGCAAATATTAAAATAAAAATCTAATAGAATTCTGAAAATACCTTCTAAGCAATGAATATGTTCAATTAAAATCATATGCTCATGAACTATGTCTGTATTTGGCAGTACATATTTGAGTGAAAAGGCATTTTCAAAAATGAAATATGTAAAAATCTCATTACAGATCAAAATTGACAGATGAACATTTGCATTCAATTTTGATGATAAGAAACACTAAATTTTAACTATAATTAAAGAAAATGTTACTTTCAACAAAAATATTTCATTGGTCCTTTTTTATTTTTGTTAATCCTCACCCGAAGATATTTTTTCCATTGATTTTGAGAGAGAGTGGAAGGGAGGGAGGGGGAAAGAGAGAGAGACAGAGAGAAACATCGATGTGAGACAGACACATCTGCTGGTTGGTTGCCTTCCGCAGGACCCCAACTGGGACCAGGAATCGAACCCACAGCCCAGGTACACAGCCCAGGGAATCAAACCCTCGATCCTTAGGATTGGTCCGTGAGCCAACGCTCTAACAGCTGAGCCAAACAGGCCAGGGCAATTTCATTGTTCTTATTAAGAGACCTGAATTACATAAAGTTATAATACAATAAATGGATATTTTAAAACTTATGTGGAATACTACACTGCATAGAATTTTTCCACCTAAGCCACTAACAAAAACTGCTTTTCTAACATCTCAGTGAATGTAAATTACATTTTTTAGGTTGGTCAAGCCAAAACACTTGAAGTCATCCTTGACTTCTCTTTATCTCTCTCACTCTCTATCCCATTCATCAGCAAAAACAGTTGATTTATCTGTAGAACTATACCCAGAATCTAATCATTTTCATCACATCTATCCCCTGGATTCAAGCTTTCATCATCGTTCACCTATTACAATAATCTTCTAACTGGTCTCATTCCCTCTACCTCCCCATTTAGCCTATTCACAGCAACCAAAGACTCCCTTTAAACTTTTCAGCCAGATCATGTCACTTCTCAGCGAAAAATCCTCCAGTGGTTTCCCATCTCACCCAGTATAAGAAAACCAAAGACCTTATAATGGACTACAAGAAACTAGATGACCTGTTCTCCACACACCCAAACCACTTCTCTGACCTCATCGCTTTCTACTGTCCCCTGGCTCAATTTCAGCCACATGTTCTATTTTTGTGTTTGCTCCCATTCTTTTTAATCCTATGCCACAGACTTTAACTTGTTCTTCCATGGCCTAAAATGATCTGTTCCCAGATAAATCTCCCCCTAGAGGCCATCTGTGACCACCCTGTGTAACTAGCAACTAGCCTTCCACACAGTCCTCCCACTCTGTCAACCTACTACTCTGCATCAATTTTCTTCAATAGCACATACCTCCACTTGACATATTATATTTTAAATTAATTACTTTCCCTACTACCCCATTAAAATAAGCTCCATGAAGGCAGGACATTTTGTGTTTTATTCAAAGGGTTCTAACCACAGAGTCGAAAACAGTGCCTGGAATAAATTATTTGCTCAATAAATAGTTCAAAATAAATGAACAAAGCAACAACAAAAGAAAAATTTTTCTATAAGTAATGTTTCTTCAGTTCCTTTTCCTTTAAGTAAAATATACATATATACATGTGCATAAAACTGATTTACCATCGCACTAAGTGTTTCCTCCCAATCAGGCCGTTCTCGGGGGTGAACGCTTCTGTGTAGTTCTGGAACAAAATCATCCTCTTCAGAATGTACCGAGGACTTCATCTTCCTAGAGATCAAAACATAAAAGACTTTAATAAGAATTTCCTTTTCTATAAAAACCTTCCAACGGCCACAATTCAAAGAACAGAAAGTTATGTGAGATTTAAAGTTTCGTTAAAAGAGCGTTGGTAGCTAGTTTTATTCCTCCATTTCTACCCTAGTTTTCAGATATCTTTCCTGATATACCAAATACCTGCTTTTATTCCAGGGAATAAAACTAAGGTTTATAACTAGTCAATTTTTATGGTCTGTGGTAATTATAAAGACAGATTTTATCAGTTCAACATAGCTGGAAACTTGAAAAGATTTGCAACAGCATCCAGATGTGTAGAACTGTGCTAACCATCAGTGAAATGCCGGGAATGAAGAAAGAGATGCAGTAATTTTATTTCTAATTTATGTTGGACAGTGTATTGGACTAGCACTCTCAAGGAAAACAACTATGAATATTAGATTAAACTACTTGTCTGAAGGCACAAGAAAGCAAGCAATACAAATAGAATTTCTGGGACTACATTCTTTGAGAGAGAGAAAACCCATGAAGTAAATTCCATAATTGATCATTCTTTTTGTGTAACAGAGTTTCTAAATCAATGACTGAAAATATAAGCCAAGTATAATATTGTGGTCTAACTAGGCTGAAGAGGCAGAAGTTGGATGTCGGGGTTGCCAAAGTCTATGAGGATTCAGGGTAAAAAATGCCACTACCACCACTACCATCACCAAAAGACCTGTAGAGGAAGAGTTCAAAGATCTACATGGAAATTCCCCTCAAATTGTCAACTGATTCCTCAGCTTACAAGTATGTAGGACAAGATGCCAAGAAACCTATCAAAAAACAGCTGCTGGGCAACTAATGGGCCAAGCAGATATTTCACAGCCTCACCATGCTGAGGAAATGGAGTTTGGCAAGCAAGCATGCCCAAAACAGAGGGGCATTGAAAAAAACAAACAAACAAAAACCTGTATTCTCAGTTGAGACTCTGGAGAAGCCATGAATTAGGATGAAGGACAAAGCAGCAATAGACAAGCTCAAACAAAGCCTAAAACCAAGCCCTGACATGATCAGAACTGCCAGAAGAAAAATAAACTCTATACAGAGGAAAATAACACTCTACAGACCCCTTGCAAATTTTTCATTCACTTTGTCTGGTATCCAATAAACATTATAAGGCATGGTTTAAAAAAAAAAAAAAAAAAAAACAGGAACAAATGAATAAAAATTTGAAAAAATGTAGTCAAAAATAGATAAAGAGTCACATTTGATTCAGATTTTAGCATGATCGGAAAGAGACTAAAAAATGGCTATAATGGATTTCTGGCTGCTGGTTGTGATGTAGAAAGCTGCAAAAAGCATCACTCTCAGCCTAACAACAAGACAGATAATCTATGAAATAATAACTTTCTTGAGTCTATCAGAAAACTAAGGTCTTGGGGCAACCAACCACTAGCCTAAATTCTAAGGAAAGACAGGAATCACAAGCAATAACTTGCCTAGGGCAAGGAAGGGGTAGAAGAAAGATACACAAGCTGGTAAAAAGAATTCAGTTAAATTTTATCAAGCTGCTAAAATATGTATAATTAATATGTTCAGGAAAAGTATATTGATAATTAAAAAAAGACTAAAAGATAAAGAACTTCAATAGAAAATTGGAATCTATGAAAAACAATCAAATGTTCATCCTAAAAATAAAAAATAAATCAAGAACTCAAAGGATGGGTTTAACAAAACAATGACCATGGTTAAAGAGAGGATCAGTGAACTATACAATAGTTCAATAGAAAACATCTACATTGAAAAATAACTGAAACAAATGCATAAAACACAACAGACTTGGTAAAAGGTCTCAAATATGTCTAAACTAGCAACTCAGAGATAAAAATCTGATGAAAAAGAGAAAGGGACAAAAGCAACATTTGAAAAATAATGGCTGAAAATTCTTCAAAACTGATGAAAGCCATCCACTACAGACTGAAGAAGCTACAGCAAGTTATCCAGAAGATCTAGCTAAGATAATTCAAGAAGGTGGCTACAATAAACAACAGGTTTTCAATGTAGACAAAACAACTTTCAGCAGAAGAAGATGCCATCTAGGCCATTCATAGCTAGAGAGGCAATGTCATTGCCTGGCTTTAAAGTTTTAAAGGGGTGCCAGTGTTAATAAGATTATATAATTTTTGCCCTGGACAGTGTGGCTCGGTGGTGCACCAGCATCAGGTTGTGCACCGAAGGGTCTTGGATTTGATTCCTAGTCAAGGGCACATACTTGGGTTGCAGGTTCCATCCTGGTCTGGGTACGGGAGTGTGCAGGAGGCAACCAATTGATGTGTCTCTTTCACATCAATGTTTCTCTCTCTTTCCCTCCCTCCCTCTCTTTCCCCCTCTCTAAAAATCAATGGAAAAAATATCCTCAGATGAAGATTTTAAAAATATATGGGTTTGAAGTGTACAATTCTATGATACATCATCTGAATATTGCATTGTGTGCCCACCACCCAAAGTCAAATCCTTTTCCGTCACCATGTATTTGACCCCTTCACTATCCGCCCCCACTCCCCTTTCCCTCTGGTAACCACCATACTGCTGTCTGTGTCTACAAGTTTTTGTTTTTCTTGTTTGTTGGTTGTTGTTCTTTTAAGTTTCAAAGAAAAGGCTAACTCTCTTATTAGGGGCTAATGCAGCTTGTGACTTTCAGTGGCTGCCCATGCTCATTTACATTCCAAAAACACTACGGCCCTCAAGTATTATGCTAAATCTACTCTGCAAAATGGAACAGAGCCTAGATGACAGCACATCTGTTACAACATGGTTCACTGGATTCTTTTAGCCCACTGTTGAGACCTACTACTCAGAATGAAACATTCCTTTCAAAAATAGTACTGCTAATCAGCAATGTACCTATCACCCAAGAGCACTGATGAAAATATACAATAAGATCAATGTTGTTTTTGTGCCTGCTAACACAACATTCTTTCTGCAGCCCATGCATGGATCAAGGAGTAATTCTGACTTTTAGGTCTTATTGTTTAGGAAATACGTGTCATAAGGCTGTAGCTGCCATAGACAGTGATTCCTGTGATGGATCTGGGTAAAGTACATTGAAAACATTCTGGAAAGGGTTCACCATTCTAGATGCCATTAAGAACATTCACACCCTGGCCCAGTGGCTCAGTTGAATGGAGTGTCGTTCCATACACCAAAAAGGTTGCAGGTTCAATTCCTAGTCGGAGTATATTCCTAGGTTGCGGGGCTGATCCCCAGTCAAGGCAAGTATGCGAGACAACCAATCAATGTTTCCCTCTCTCTCCCCTTCCCCTGTCTCTAAAAATCAATAAAAACATGTCCTCAGGTGAGGATATTTTTAAAAAAAAGGACATTCGTGATTCATGGGAAAAGGTCAAAATAGCAACCCTCATGGATGACTTTGAGGGGTTCAAGACTTCAGTGGAGGAAGTAATTCCAGGTGTGATGGAAAGAGCAAGAAAATTAGAAGTGGATCCTAAAGATGTGAATGAATTGCTTTAATTTCACGATAAAACTTGAATGGATAAGGATTTGCTTCTTATGGATGAGCAAAAAAAAAAAGTAGTTTCTTGGGATGGAACCTACCCCTGGTGAAGATACTGTGAAGACTGTTGTAACAGCAACAACAGATTTAAAAGATTATATAAACTGAGTTGATAAAGCAGCAGCATGGTTTGAGAGAACTGACTCCAATTCTGAAAGAAGTTCTACTGTGGGTAAAACGTTATCAAACAGCATCATATCCTACAGAGAAATCATTCGTGAAAGAAGGAGTCAGCAAACTTGAGTGTTCTTTTAAGCAATTGCCATAGCAACCCCAGTGTTTAGCAACCACCACCCTAATCAGTCAGTAGCCATCAACATTGAGGTAGCCCTCCATGAACAAAAAGATTATGACTAGTTAAAGTCTCAGGTGATAGCATTTTTTAACAATAAAAGTATATTTAATTAAGGCAGGTACATTGTTGTTTTAGACATAATGCTACTGCACGTAACAGACTACAGTACATTGTAAACATAACTTTTACATGCACTGGGAAACAAAAAAGTCATGTGACTAGCTTCAGTGTGATGTTCACTTTATTGTGATGATCTGGAGCTGAACTCACAAAATCTCTGAGGTCTGCCTGTATAGTTAAATCTGAAGGAATGACAAAAAAATATTAAGTCATCTCAACAAAAACTAGGATTGGGGTGGGGGAGAATGGTGATAAATAAAGAGTACCAAAAGTCTCATCCAGAAGGAAACTGGGAGAAAGAGGAAGTAAAAGTATTCTGAAGATCTTAAGAGGAAGAAGTAGAGAAGTGTGGCTCAATGGTTGAGCATTGGCCCATGAACCAAGACGTCGCTGGTTCGATTCCCAGTCAGGGCACATGCCCAGGTTATGGGTCAGATCCCTAGTGGGGAGCAAGAAGGGGTGGCCAATCGATGTTCTCTCTCATCAATGTTTCTATCTCTATCTCCCTCTCCCTTCCTCTCCCGGCTAGTCACGAGATACATTTTTTTAAACAGGAAACTGACTACAGTTGTCCCTCACCACTTCGCACTTCAACTTTCACAGCTTCACTCTATCGCGGTTTTTGAAAAAACCGCGATAGAGTGAAGCCGCGAAAGTCGAGGCACAAAGTGACGAGGGACCACTGTATATAAATAAAGAATCCTACTTCGCAGAAATTCATTTATCACGGTAGAGTCTGGAACTGCTTAACCGCGATAAACGAGGGCCGACTGTACATTACATTTATAAACAGAATTTTAAATGTTTCAGAAATTTTTATTTACTAAGTTGAAAACATACAATTGACTGTTTTAAGCAAGTATGATTTTTAAGTTGAATGGAAAAGTTAAGGAAAAATAGGTTTTTAAACTTTTAGCTGTATATAAACAACTTAATAACTAGGAACTTTTATGTAGTTTTATATAGTTTCTGTGCTCTAAGTCCTGTCTTGAACTTCAAAAACCTTACACAGATAGATATAAGAAAAT